ATGCCCAAATTTTTCACATGCTGTTTGATATTGGGGCCCATTGCTGTTGCTAGCTGCTGAAGAATGCTCAGTGTCTGTTGCACCTACACATAAAAAAAAAGTCTTGGAATAAAATACTTGAAGTCGTACAGGAAAAAGTAACACTGCCATGCACCTAAGTTTTTACTTTAGAATGCCTGCTCAATGGTATCTATTCCAGGCTTCAAATTCACCATCAGTTAAGTTATTTCTATATTCTGAGTAAATTAAAATAAAATTCAACTAAAAAAATTTTCAAACAAGGGACACTTCACTTTTGTCACAAGCACAGCAATTACTCAAACTTTTTTTTTCATTTGCTTATATCACATTCAGAGTAGAGGTGTATTTTCCCTTTTTTTGAAGGTTTTTTTTTAAATACAAAGCCAAGACAAAGACAAATCTTCAGAAAAAACAGGCAGACACATGATCTAGAAATACTCAGTTCACTGTTCTCCAACTGTTGATTTCATGACATTGTAACAGACAGAGTAACAAGCAGGCTTCAGAAATCAAAAAATAGTCTATCTTGAGTTCTAAGGTAGAAATAGCTGAAAAAGGATTTTGAATAACATACCAAGATTTTATTGGAGTCATTGAGACGACTCTTCAAAGCAGCTGGAAGTTCTCCAATGTTAGGCTGTATGAACTTTGCATCATTAATTATGCTTGTCACTTCATCTAGACCTTCCTTTCTGATCTTCCAGTTCTTGTCCCCAATCTTAGACACTAGTTCGGCTGTGATCTTATCACTGTCAGAAAAAAGGTAAAAAGCCCATTTTCTTAGTTATGCGTCTTTCCACATTTGAGTGCTTTAACACCAGTTTTATGCTTCAAAAGTCTTTATAAACACAAAGTTCTGAATTGCAGCAAAAGTACATCTTCAGGTTGCAGAATCCAAACCTACCCAATATCTGTTCTTGGCAAGAGATCCACAACATCATTCCCAGCTTCCTCCTGTTCCTCTTCCTCGCCATCATCCCCACCTCCACCACTGTTCCTGGAAATGCCACGAGTCGGGGCTGGTGCCGTCTGCCCTTGCATCTGCAAGCAACACAAAAACCCAGAAACAGTTATTTTAGCATTCTTCATTTGACACGTAAAATAAAAACCACTTGCACAATACAAGTGTGCTGTCTCACAGCAACGGACTTCTAAAACATGCTATTCAAACAAAACCAGAAATTTCTTAAGTTTGTCCCGAAAAACATGACTACTGGCATAGCTAGACATAACGAGTTTACAGCTGCTTTGGTGAGCCATCAGCAAAAAAACTGGTTCACTTACTACAGATTCCAGCTACTAAAGTTTCCAAGCAGTCTGAATGATACTTGGTAACAAGAGAGCTACACTTCATACCTTTTCAAATTCTGCATCTATCTGGGAGAGAAGGGCTGGCTTCTCATCCTCAAAAAACATTCGCAAAGGAGGTCCCACATAAAGATACATGACTCCCAGCAAGGTAATGGCAGAAGTCCTTACAGCCTGCCAGAAAAAGAATAAAAGCACTCAGTCTTCAAATTAAGGATTGATAATAATTCAGGATTAAAATTCTCAATTTACTCACTGGGTTAGTAGCAGCAAGAGCTGTCTTCACATTACTGATGAATGCTTTGACATTCAGTCTGTGGGAAAAAAAAGATATCCCCCCGTAAGTGAAAACCAATACAAGAAGCACCACCAACAAATCATCACAATATGCTAAAGAAAAAAAAAGTGCCAAGAAGAGATTCATAAAACTAACTTACAAGCAGAAGATACTTGCATTTATAAAATAATATCACAGGCACAGTGTAGATGGTAGCTATTTAAAAAAAAAAACTTAAGGAGATCAGTTTGGGGAATAGCCTACTATGAAAATCAATACAGTAAACACAAGGTAATTTATATCAGACTACTATTATTACAGCTGCAAAGTTTCTTAAACTACGTCACCCACATGATTTCTCAGATTGAAATCCTGAGGGATAAGTCTAAAATTAATTTAAGCACCTGATACATGGCTACATAATAAGGGTGACGTCTGGGTTGTTAGTCTGTCACAGGATCATCCAGAAAAAAGCACAAGTTTCAAATGACAAGAGAAAGAAAAGCAGGTTTAGATTACTGAGTCTTCTATACCACCACTGAATTCAATAGAAAAGAGACAAATCGCGCAAGCTTCCTTTGTGCAGCCTCAAACACTGCTGTTTAGTATGTGTCTACAGATTACCCTGCCGGAAATACATACTTTGGGGAGAATTTACTGAAGAAGAGAGCTTGCTTTCCAGACTTAATTGATGTTACTATCCATTTAATAGCTGCAAAACAACTTGGACAGGCATAGTAACTGTCCAATGAGTCAAATAAATTAGTATTAAGTCTTCACTGCTTAGAAATGTTGTTCTCATGAGTAAAATGTACTACATATGCTTGACCACATTCTGTTACGAGACTGGTGATTAATAATTCAGGAATGCTATCCCTGATTCTGATGGAGAATACATTTCTTACCCTCACAGCACCACAGGCAATAATGGCTGTTTTGCTGACTAAAATTTCATCCTGTTATCAGCCTCAAAATCTCTCCCAAGGAGAGCAATAACCACGCTGGTATATACTCTTCTGTAGGCTGGCCATTTTTGTTGTTTTAAGCTATAAAATATAGCTATCCACCTGGGTGTAGGTGTATGCAAGTAGAACAGGAATAGCAGACATGCAACACCACAGGTCCTTGCACAGCCTACGCCTATAGTACATAAATTTTAAGCAGAAGGCTCTTCAGAGAAGGCTGAGTGAATAACACATTGAGTAGTGTAATAGTATCCTACACTAGCAGTAGCGTCAGATACTTTCATTTACACATTTAGAACTAGAAGAACACCTGGAACAAAAGCTCAGACACACCTGCAGCCACCCTCTTCAGACCAATTTGACAAGAGAGAATGGGTTCTTAAGCCCAGATTAGAAACACTTTTATTCAAACTTCTCTTAGTAATTTACTTAAAAGACATACCCAGAAAAGCCAAACTCCTTAATTGCATTTGAAAGCCAGTTCAAAGTTTCTGACTGGTTTTTTGGATTCTTTTGAGAGAAAGCCATAGCCACAACCTGGAACAGAAGAGAGTTAAGTGTAAGTTTTCACTGGCAAACCAGGTGACAAAGCACTGCAATAAAAGACTGAAGACACCTGTAAAAAACACAGGTCACTGCCAGTAAAACAGAAGCAGCTGGGGTAACACATGAGGAAAAATGTGTTGTGTCACTGTAGAAGAATACAATTGCAATTGAAGCAAACCAGAAGTTCCTAAAGTAGTTAGAAGCAGCCATGGGTGGGTACCTGCTTTGGCAATATTTCAGCAAAGTACTGATTTACTACTCATTACTTCCTCTTGGGGAGGAACTTGTATTGAACTTCTGCCTTAGGAGAGATCTTCAGAGCAAACAAATCACTTTCAGGGAACAGATTAAAATCACAGATTTAGAACTTACTCCTCAGACTGAAAAAACACTCAAAATAATATTTCTCATTTTATTTACTGTAAGAACATCTTTGCTGCTCACTCACCTGCTCAGCAGTCCATGGCAACTGACAAGCCTCTGCTATTGCTGTCATGGCTTCTTTCGCATTACTGCCGCATTTCACATCACCAACCTTGTCTACAAGACCATCCAGCACAACCTGGGCTGAAGTTTTGGAGAAGTTTCCTTTCTGTGCAATCAATGCAACTATATGCAGCTTCATCTGCATCACCTGCAATGTCCACAACAGCAAGGAAGTTACTCATGTCTTCACATATTTTAGACCAAATTTTTTATTTTATGAATTTTTATAGACATAAAAAAAAGGTATGTGTGAGTAAACACAAATATATGCATTTGAATATATAAAAATGTGTTCAAACACATTTGCATTCAGATGCCGATCTCCGGCCCTCCGGGATCAGCACGGCACGCTGAAACACACCAAACACACTCTGGTTTGCTGAAGGGGAACATTGCCAAGAGCAAATGCTACTGTCCTGTATGCAAGCTCCCAATTTATCACCCAGGATTACATAATCTCAGTTTTGCTTTTACATTCTACTGACCTTCAGGTTGTCTGTTTTCCACTACATGGTGCTTTGAACCTGCTGCTTCTCACGCTTGCAGTAGGGCTTTCTGCAGTGCTGCCACACTTGTCCACAACCATTCTCTAACCTGAAGGTCAGTCTACATTTTTGCTAACCACCAGTTCTTTATTCCCACATACAGAGATACATATTTTAGATACACACACCTGTATATATATGAATTTGTGTGATTATACACACAAATGCATATTTTTATGTCTATATGTATATACACACAATCAATAATACTGGGCAGCCATCATCCACTTTTAGATCTTACATATATGTATATACACATCTGCACATCTGGGTATCTTCAAATATTGTCTCAGTCCCAACCATCAGCAGAAATAAAATCAAATTTCAGAGTTTATCTTAGACCACAGATACAACTGTGGTCATGGTGCTACAGCCCTTCAGTGGGCTTACATAGCTTATGTTAAGTAACAAAAATGGACTGTTAGTTACTGAAGGATAATTACCTGAAAATTTGTTTCCTTCCAACCAGGTTTCTTGGCCAGCATTCTTACTAGAGCTTGGCAAGGCATTTCACTTCTCTCCATAAGCTCAACAGCCTAAAGGATAAACATGAAGTTAGCCAGTGGGCCACAAGTCGTAAAACCCAAAACAAACAGAAGTTAGCTCAACTGTCCTGTAAATATTTTCTTAATACTGAACTAAGTTGCAGAAATACTCAGCATAAGAATTTAACAGAAGATCCTCACTATAAGAACACTTTTAGAGGGAGCCCATTTTTACAGGTACTGTGCCAACATTCACATTGCTACACTTCGTTCTCTAACAAGTGTCCTTACAAGCACTATTGGCCATTCCAGCCCTGGGAATTTAACAGATCACTAAAAAAACCCCAAGTTCTGTTAGTTTTTTTTGTTTTGTTTTTTAAAGATGAAGCATATTGTGCATACTGGAATGCTGACTACCCAGCAGAGGTTAACCCTGAATGTCACCTAAATTACTGGTTTTAGTTGTTGTTAGGCTTAACCATTCCACTGAAACAGTAACATCTCTACATTTGAGCAAAGCTGGCTTCTGCAGCAGCATCTCAGTGCAGCCAGTCACCATTTCATAACTTAAGTTAGTCACCTTTTCCACCAAAACTCTAAAACTCAGTTGCAACTGTAATGGTGTAGAGGTATGAACTATTTGTACGTCTACAGCTGATGCCTTTTTAAATATGAACTCTCAAACGTCTTACAACAGATACCATGGGAAGAAAGCCAGGCTTCACATTTGAGCGACAAGATGCTTTTTTGTTTGTGACTACGTGAAGCACTCACCACCAGCTGTGAAGACTGCTGGTACTGCACAAGGCTTCAAACATCAACTCTGTGCTGACTGAAATATTAGTATTATAATCAATTGCTGCCCAACATGCACTCAGCAGGGATGTACTTCCAACTGGTTTTGCTCAATCATTGCAAAACTTTTAGTTTAAACCTAGTTATCTTTAAGACTAAGCTTTAAATTACTTAGGGTTTTAAAAAGACCTCTCTGTATGCATCCTCAATCCACATACAAGCATTTTTGACAAAAACATACTTATCTACATTAAACTAAAAGACTTACTCTGCTCTCGTTATAGAGTAAGAGACAGTTCAAGCTACATAAGCTTTTTATAAGTTTTTTGCAAGTATTGTTTAATCCATCTGAAGCGCTGACATATCACTTCTACTGGTATGTCTTTTAAAAGAGTTACCAGGCCTAAAAAGCTGAAGAAGTTACTGTCCCTACCCAACTCTTTTCTTGTCAACTGCTGCACACTTACCTTCTGAAATTCCTCCATGCAGGCAAGCCTCTCTTTCCAGTTACCACTGTCTAACTGCTGGATACAAGAAGCTGGAAGGACAGCAGCAGCTTTCTCTTCACACACTTCTATCTGCAGACAGATCAGGACCAGGTTAACACCCCACTGTATCCTTTTGGAAAGGGGCAGCAGGCTTAAGGACAGATAATACACTGAAATTACCCTCACACTGATACATTTACCAAATATGAAAACTTTTTGCTGTAGTTTGAAAAGATTTTATATGGATTATAGTTGGGGTCTTAGGAGTTCTGGAAGCTGCTGAATTGTACTGAAACAGAAAAGTAATCTCTGAAAAGTATGGTAAATTGTGCAGACAGTCAAAAATAATCCTGGGTAGCCACTATATACTTGTAAAATCAAGTAGAGGTAACCTAAAATTTCCAATATAATTTTGTATGAAATCTGAAAACATTCACAGCAACAAACCAGCAGTTGAGAAGGGTGGTTGGGAGAAGACATATCTTCTGCATCCATTTTAACAAAATGAAGAATTGAAGTTATTTAGTATACAAAAAATGACAAAAACTTCCCTTGTTTCCCTGGCATCTGTATCACCTTCAGGAAGTAGATACTCACTTTCCACTGTATAACCAACAGTATAAACTGCACACATAATGGAAAGTGTTCATTTTAAGCAACACTCTAAAGATAACTGACAGTTCAAAAAAAACTTACAAATACATCTAGCAAAGCTTTAATAGCTTTTTGTTACTGTTTGACCTACTGATAGGTTAGTTTACCAGGTTCCCTACCAAGAAGATAGGCAGACACTCAATTAACATCCAGAATTCAGTCATTTTCTTGAACTGTAACTTAATACGAACAGCACAGAATAAACTTGCATGAGTTTAATTATTACAGTATTTACTTCAGATTTGAATGTAAACTCCAGAACACTATATTCCCAGGCTTTTAGTACCAGACACCTTCAGCAAATCATGCATCCTAAGTTACATATAAAGTAGTCACATCGTTACTTTTTTCATCTGTTCCTAGTTCAGGGACAACATGACATCCACTATTGTATTAACATGATTTATTGTTTACTGTCTTTATACAGCCTGGTACCAACAGCAACCTGAAGAACAGGTGTGTGTTTACCAGAACGTATCAAACATCCATTTTACCAGTTATGAATTCTATTTAAGTGTATTGCCTTCCCTTTTCCTACCAAAAAAACCCCAACTTCAGTGAAAAATTCCATAGTAGCTGAAGAACTGATGAAACAAAGCTGCCTATATAGAGGACTTCATGTTGCAGAGAACAACAGAATACTCACGGAGAGCTCCGCTTCAAATATTTCTTTGGTCTCGGGACCCTTCTTGCCTTTAGCTCCAGCACCTCCCATACCTGCAGCTGCAGCTGGTTTGCCTTTCTTGGGTGGGCCCCCAGGCTACAAAGGAAATGGACAAGTTAGTCAAGATCAACCAGGTCTCTTGGTCATCAGATACCAAAAGAGCTGCTGTTTTTCCACACTTCTACATTCTAAAATGAGAATGACAATAATAATAGAATATACAAACAAGCGATACACAGTACAATGTCTCCAGTGGTCTATCATTATTTCAATATCAAAATCTGGTATTAAGATATAAGTGACAGGACAGTTTGTATCATCAAAACTGAGATTTCATCAAGTACATTCTCGGAAAGCCCCAGATTCTTTTTGTTGTTGGGCTCCCCTACTCCTAGAGAAGGACAGCATATCCTCAGTGGAAGGAGACACCCAACAGGCCACCTTTGATCTTCCATAAGTAACTATTTGATGCAATCAGAGACAACTGACTGTCAGACCAGCTCTTGGCAATCTGTTACCTTCACAGGGGGTGCTTTTTTCAGTGGTCCTGGCTTGGCTGCTGCATCTTTTGTTTCTTTATCTCCACCAGTCCCTGAAAGAGCAGGGGTCTTTCCACTAATAGGCTTGCCTTCTTTTTTCTCAGCAGCTCCTCCTGCCTTTTTACCATAAACCAGTTCTACCTTCTCAGCACACTCTTTAATCTGACAAGCAGTTAAAAAAAATAAGGGGGGGGGTGGGGAGAAAAGAAAAAGGCTATTTAGCTACCACAACTGGATGTACAGCATCCCTCCAACAGCAGTGGCTCAAACTTAAACTCTTCATGTTTTTTCCAGAGTGGTAAAGTAGTTTACTTCACAAAATTTTGTCATCCTGTGTTCCTTACAGTAGTAATGTTAACCAGTCAATGGCATCAGCCACCACTGTATTGCTAGAATAATTTTCCGAGTTCAAAATGAAGTGCATTTATACACACAGAAAGCATTGACGTGTCGTGTCCCCCCCAACATTTATAGATGCTCTACAGACTAATTCTTAGCACCTTAAATTATAAAACCATCATTCACTCAAACCTGTCAGCTTAAAAGCATGAAAAAACTTTGTGTTAGCAAGTAAGTCTTTACTACCAAATCCTGTCTAATAACACAGAATTAAACATGTGGTTGTGACCTAAAGCCCTGAACTCTGTTTCAGACAACAGGGAAAGTGTTCACAAACAAAAACCCCCACATACAACCAACCAACAACAACAACACAACCCAAACCAAACCCCACAACCCACCTCATAGACAATACAGCCTTAAAGCCAAACAGATACTTTACGCAAGAATGAAAGGGTGCAATGTTAACATACCAATGCATTTTAGGTAGAAGTCAAAGAAAAGATGCTTGATAATCTAGCTAGAAATAAACAGATTTCCCAATTCCCTGCAACATCGCTGATTTAAGTAAAAATAATTTTCAAAAATCTGTACTGAAAGTCACTGGCTAAAGCATCCTCTTTTGTTTTCTCCAGCCTAAGATGCATCTTAAATGGAGCTGTTTTTTCCCCCCTCACCAGCATTTATGGTAACAAACTCACCCGATCAAGCTTTAGTTTGTCTACATCTGCCAGAAAAGGATTCACAGCTTTCTCTCCAGCCACTTTCAAGGCAGTGCCTAATGCTTCAAATCCAGCATCTCTTACTTCAGGAGCAGAATCATTGATATGCTGCAGAGAAAGACAAATAGTACTGCACGACTTGCAGCTCATATCTAAACAGATTCTTAAAGACACCTTCTGTATAAATCCACTCTCCTTTTTTAAACCTACATCCACTACAGAATAATCCTTAATACTCCACTACAGAAAGAAAAAGGTTACTTTTCACTTCTGTTTTCCTATGTACCCATCAAGTTTACTGTTTCTCAGACATAGCCAGTTTCCCATCTTGGGATCTTTCACACAAGAAGGTAGTCATGCTTTAATAGATGCTGCAACATCATTAAAGTTCCACAAGGAGTTTGAAGTTCTACAACACTATTCAAATCTCCATTTCTGAAGCCAGGGATATTCCCCATAACAAGGAAAGGGCTATTTTGCAATGAGAAACAAGTACAGAGTTATCAGTTACACTGGCAAATGCTCTAGTGTAACTGCAGTATATGAATGGTTCTTTTATTCACAGTAAATTATATGTAGCATTCCAATAGAAGCTTGCTAGAGATGTCTGCAGTAATCAAGAAGAACAGTGCCCAGAAGTTTAACAGTTGCAAATCACTGTCTTAATCTATTATAAAAATGGTGAGTCTTCAGTATCAGAAAACTAAGAAAAAGGAGACTAAACTGTTCCCATGACTGACAGTCATCTTCAAGTTTGACATCAGTCAACACTGACTCTGATGTCTACACAGCACACAAGAACTCTTCAGTCCTTGCACTACCAGAAGGGTCTTTCTCCCAAAACAATCCAGTGCTTCATAACAACAGTGCTTGAGTCAATGTCAGAGAAGTACCAGCTCCTCCTGCTTTACCTTGAGAAGTGCAGCACAGAACGGTTTTAACAGGCTTTTTGGCAGCGTAGAAGGTGTGCAGTGGCGGAAGCTTCTTGCAATGAAAAGTGATGTTTGTTGCTTAATTGTTGGGTTTTTGTTGTCCATCACTGCCAAAACATCTTCACTTATGTTCTGCAACGTGGTCTACAGGGTTGGATAAAGTCATTAGTTTCAGTAAAGTAAGAGAAAAGCAAATCAGAACTAGAGACCCATTCCCAGACAGTGGGAAAATTGTCACTCTTACTTACTGTAAGAAAGATTGCATCAATGGCCTCCTGCAGTGCCTGCACTACCTGAGGCTTCTTCTCTTTAAATTTCTCCAAGATTGTTGGAACAACCTACAGAAAAGGGAAAACGAAACAACAAAGTCAACCCACTCTTCACTATTATCACTGCAAAGCCTGAAAGTCTGCTCCCTGGTAGTTTGCAGAAAAGCAAATAACGCAAACACCACTGCTGCCTCCTCCAGGAGTACACAACAATAGTAGGAACTAGTTTATTCCAGCTGATTTCCGCTGTTAAATTCATGCCAGTCCAGATTTTTGAGCAACTTCATGGCAAAGATAAACAAAAGGCAGCTATACAAGTGCACATAATTACACATGAATACTCTGGTTCTATTGGTCTGGAACACAGAGCAATAGAATGGAAATTAAACAATCTCACAGCAGAGTGCTGTGCTCTTGCACTATAAGGATCCAAGGGGGTATATAACCTGTTCTCTCTTTCCCAGCTTCCTGACAGCACTCAGCATGGCTCCTTAAGAAGCCTTTATTTGACCCACAGCTCACAAGACCATGGTTCTAAAGCAACCCAAATCCTTCCTGGAGCAACATTTTTGGGGATTTATCACCTTGAAAAACCACACCTGACACTCAAGTATGCCACACTGGAATTTCACAGCAATTTATACCCAATCTAGCTGCTCAGTCACTGCTGAAAAATAAAATAAATCAATAAATAAACGAAAAAAAACAGCAACATTTTTGGGGATTTATCACCTTGAAAAAACCACCCCTGACACTCAAGTATGCCACACTGGAATTTCACAGCAATTTATACCCAACCTAGCTGCTCAGTCAGTCACTGCTGAAAAATAAAATAAAACAATAAATAAACAAAAAAAACCAGCAGACATGTGCCCATAATAACAGCAGCTCCATTCAGGTACGGTCTCTCTAGCAGAAAGACACACGCTGACCTAGGCTTGGCTGGCATCCTTTGGGGGCCGCAACTTGCAAATTCCCTGCTCAGAGACTTTAGCACTAAAAAAATATTCAGTTAATCCAGAATGGCACCATAAAGACCCTCATACATGCCACTGCAGGTGGTAGACACCCCTAAATCTTACAGGGAACAACGTCATAGGAAGGAAATATTTAAAATCATTAAGTCTGTGGTTTAGGAGATGATGCAATTCATAGCTGCCATGACAGTACTGAAAAACTCATCCTCTCAAGGCCATTTGCTTGTCAACCATGGAGCTATCCCATTACTTCAGAAGCTCGGCTTTTTCAGTACTAACTCTGTAGCTAGGAGGGCTAACCTTTAAAACACAAATCAAGTGTACCCAGGTGTAAGAATGCTGCTTACAACTAGAGACAGCTTTCAGAATGAAAGAGACTTTGCCCAAACTGTTGTTCAGAGTTCAGGAGACTTGAATGTTTCTGAAGCAGTGAGATCCAGTAACTTTCCAGTTCATCACAAACTGTAACACTACTGACAGCCAGACACAGCAAATACCTTGTCGAAGCTTTGCCTGCATCCCTCTTGTTTGTCCCAAGAAAAACCTGACTGAGCAGCTTAAAGAACACAGCAACATGGACCTGAGAAACAAGTGAGATAACTGCAACAAATTAAAAGCTCCCTTTCTTTCCAGAGACTGGCTAAGCTTCCCTGTATTCCCTGATATTAGCTTTTGGTAAGAAAAGAGTAGCAAAGGAAAGCAGAGAAGAGCATTAAACTAAATCCCCAGAACTTTTTGGTAACAAAAATCTCAGTAGTTTGGTTATTTAAAGCTGAATAAAAAAAAAGCTCCCTTTCTTTCCAGAGACTGGCTAAGCTTCCCTGTATTCCCTGATATTAGCTTTTGGTAAGAAAAGAGTAGCAAAGGAAAGCAGAGAAGAGCATTAAACTAAATCCCCAGAACTCAAAAAATCTCAGTAGTTTGGCTATTTAAAGCTGAATAAAAAAAAAAAAACAACACAACAAAAAACAAAACAAACAAGAAAAACCCACACAAACACACAACAAAAAACCCAGACAACAATCAAACAAAAAACCCACCAACAACCCTCCCCCAACCTTTAAAAAAAACCCCAACCAAGCTAAAACATACATCACAGAGCTGCTAAGTAGAACTCAGGTTCAGAAGCTATTTTTCCACTGTGACCTGCAAATCCATTTCTGTGGGTATATCTCCAGATGAGGTAATGTAAATAAAGTTCATTTCATGGCAGAGTAATTCAGAGTTGTCTTTGTACAGAAGATTTACAGCAATACTAAGCTTCATGCTGCTGAATGTGAATAAAACAAGGTCCTTTTAACCTTAAGCTGCAAGATATTTTCCTGCTTACTCCATTAAGGAGTAGCTAAGCATTCATAATTGTGCAAAGAATACCTTTGATAAATACCAAGGTTTGACAGGCAAGGAAAAAACAAGGCAGCAAGCTATTTCCTGGTGTCCAGCATCAATAAGACAAGAAAAAAAGTACATGCTCTTACTTACATGCCCTGCATACTGCCCAAATTTCTTTCGGAGGCCAGTAGCTAGCCCAGCAAGGCATTTGGCAGCCAAAGCAACTAACATAACATTTGTATCCTTCCCAACAACCTGAAGAGAAAAAACAAGGAAAAAACAAGGCAGCAAGCTATTTCCTGGTGTCCAGCATCAATAAGACAAGAAAAAAAGTACATGCTCTTACTTACATGCCCTGCATACTGCCCAAATTTCTTTCGGAGGCCAGTAGCTAGCCCAGCAAGGCATTTGGCAGCCAAAGCAACTAACATAACATTTGTATCCTTTCCAACAACCTGAAGAGAAAAAACAAACAAACAAAACAACGTGAAAACCTGAAAATCCAACTTTCAGAGACTTGGACTGTTCTTAGAACAGTCAGTGGGCTGCAGATTGGGTTATTCCACCACTGTTCCAGCTAATAATTTTCTGCTCATCTGTATTATCTCAACCATAACTTTCAAAGTATAATACAAATAAATCATAGCAAAAATTAAACTGTATGTGCACTCTGGGTTTTATTATTACCTTTTTGAGAACTTTCACCAAGTCTGCATAGTCTCCTGATTCCAATTTGGGATTTTTCACCAGCAGTTCAACAGCTTCTAGAGCTTCTTTCCTTTCTTGCCACTTTTTTGCTTCCTACAGAGCAAATAATTTACATTAATTATAATTGCAAACTGTTCTAGAGAAGCATACTTGCCACAAACAATAGACTTTAAAACTCAGTTCTATCCTGAGAAACCCAAAGTCTCCCTACAGTTCAACGACAATAATTGCAATGAAACATGAAATACAGTCCTTTCCCAGGATATATCTCCTTAAAACTGCAGCTTTCTTGCTAGTAAATCAAATTCTGATTTAAATTTTAGCAGTAAAGCATCCATTGCAGAATGCCAGAAAATCTTAAGACTCATTAGCCCTACACGTCATAGAACTAACTGCTAGTATTTAAGTTTATGCTTACTATTTTCTCATAAAAGTCTTTGGGAAGCTTGGAAAGAATTTCTACAGCTTCAAGCAACTCATATGCATCTACTTGTGGTACCGCCTCTTCCTCATCATCACCTCCTGCAATCAGAAGAGAGAAAAATATAAGCAGAGGGACAAATGAAGTCTTAACTACAGCACCACCAAAGGCTCATTGTTTAAAAAAAAAACATTTACTATCAGCAGTTGTGATTTTGCTGTTCCAAAGGACAAACTTTCATATAAAGCTTCTGCCCCAGCCACGTTTTCCTGTTGTGTACTGCACCCCACGTGTTTTGCACCACTGAGTAAAAAGCACCTTTACAATTTAATGCATTCCTTCACAAATAATATCCCAGCAATATACTTTCCAACAGACTTTGGAGATTTACCTCCATCTGCATCTCCTCCAACTGCCTGCTGCTGCTCAAATTTTGCTTTCAGCTCCTGTTGGGAACGCAGGAACCTGGTCTGCTTAGGAGCAGCCGATGACACTTTGACCCACTCTTCTTCCAGTTCTTTTAGCTGCCAAAAGGGAAAAAAAAAATAAATCATTGTACCACAGACATTTTGTACACACCCCAAGATCAACCAACCCTTCATGGAAAGCAGTGGAGTTTTCCCATTTCAAAGCCAGGATAGCATTACATTTCAAGTTCTTTTTTCTGCCACTAAAGTAGTGACTTCCCCTTCACATTCACCGTTCAGAAGCTTTTGACCAAGTATATCCACAGAACACCACCTCCAAAAAAATAATCAATGCAAAATATTTACACACAAACTGCAGAACAGTCAGAACAGTGCGACCCCTCTGTAGAAGCTTTAGAATAAAAATGGCTGAGCATGAAGGAAGATCTTATGGTTACAGCCACGCTATTATTACACACTAAAACTAAGATGAAACAAACATGTTGAGCTATAGTTGATGAGACAGTTTTGGTTTTTTTAAACCATGCCTTTTTCTAGCAAGTAACTGCTTTCCACCTGAATACAATTAACACAAGTGGGTAGGAGGGATGAATGCACAAATAATTTTACAATGTTTTTAAAAAATGGAATGTTGCATCGCCAGTAGCAGTTATCTATCATAACATAATGCCAATTCCTGAATTGGAACACTCACATCCTGAGCATCACCACCACCACAAGTCTGATGGGCTATGTAGAAGAAAAAAACGTCAGGAAAAAAAAACTGAGAAGGAAAATGGTTGACCTGCAGACTTTCAGCACAGGGGTCTTTTACAATGGTAACCAGCTGCCCTCGGGTTAGGTCTCCAAGAAATACCATTCTACTTTGCAAATCCTCTCCTCAGTTTCAACACAAAGCTTCCCCCCCAAAAACTTCACACGTATTCAGAGCAACAAAACATTGTCACAATTTCTTTACAAATAAACAGAGAGGAACTAGCACTTTAGGGAAAGTTACAGAAAGCTAAAAAAAAAAAATGTTGCTGTTACTGAAAAAACCCAGCTTTGATTTTAAGAATGCCCAAAACCACAGGATAATAGAACGTGAGAATTAAAGGGTTTTCTCGAATGTTTGGATACAGAACTACTTTCTGCCTACCTGAACAGAGTTTATGTTCTGCAATGGAGGTCTCAGAGCATCCCTTATCCAACGGTAGATCTCCACAGCAAGGAGTTTGGCTTCATCTCGAACAGCCTTTTCCCGAGACTCAAAAAGTTTTGGCAATACCTTAATGATTGGCTTCAGCGAGATTATTTTTGAACCAAATTCACTGAAAGTTAAAAGCATGGAATAGCATCAGTGTCCAGATAGGAACCAGAGAGTGAGCCACAAATAAGAATTTACTTTTTTAAAAACAATCTATGCAATGCTTCCAGTGCACATTTAGAGACTGAGTCATTTACTCAAATCGTTATTATAGCTATTATTTTGTGATGCTACTAAGCTACTGTAAAATCTAAAGAATATTTGTCCTATCATAACTACCCTCCACGCCCAGCTTGGAATTACAAAATCATGCCTCCGAAACTACTTCAAAGCACTCAATCCAATCTGCTGCTTAAATCTCTTCCCTTGCCAAGGGGGGGAAAAGAAAAAAGAGAAAAGTGTCCTTAGACCAAAATTTGTATGACCTACTTTTTTTTTTTTAAACACATCAGAATAGAATCTCCTTTGTCTATCCTTGGAGGCAAACTATAGTAAAAGCATTAGTGACTCCTCCACTTGTTGGACCAGATAATTATAGTGAGCCTGGGTCATCTTCACAGAAAATACACGTGTTGAAATACGTGCTGCTGGAAGGACACATAGAACAAGTTTCCCCAGCCGATCACTCTTCCCTATCAGCAGATCCTACAGCTTGTTGAACCTCATACACTGAACATCCTTTTTCAATCACTGCTGAATGAAAACATGAGAACTTTCTTCTCACACTCATAGTACAGTTAACTGCTACAGTTCTTAAGCATAATTTCTAAATCACCTCAGAAGTCATAAATGCTTTTGAATCCAAAAAAGTTATTTTTTTGAGAATTCTAAATTAACCTTTCCAATCACATTTTTTCTTCTGCTTCCCTCCAATCAAGTACCACATGAAAAAAAGCTCGTAAATGTGGCTACTCAGGAAGTAAAACTTATGTCTCACTTTCTAAAAATTCTAGTGCTAAACTTTATATTGCCAAGCCCACTTTCAGAAATATTAAGTATTAAAACCTGCAAAAGAGGATCCAGTCTCAGAAAACACATAACTTAAATGAAGAATATGAACAAATGAGTTGCCCAAGATTTTTATCTTTCTACCATGCCTCAAAAAAAGAACATATGAGGAAGAATAACAATTTTCACAGGTATTTATCTAATTTATATAATATTAATCTAATTCATACAACAAAACAAGAAAGAACAGAAACCTTAGCACAAGATTAAAAGTCACCAGAAGCTCAACTAGTTATGCACCCAAGCTACCCACCTAGGTACAACATAGAAAAATTTTGTTATCAGTGCAGAAACCCTGTCAAAGCACAAGACAAATTTAGGCAGCAACACAACCCAGAAGCAGAAGACACAGATTAAGTCAATAGGGCTCCATGAAAGAATTTCATCTTGCCACCTCAAAGATAATAAAATACTGCATATTAAAAAATAGGCACATGCGGCACATTTTACAGACATAATGAGTTGAAAGATATTGAGGAAGGTTATGCAGGTTTCTAATTACACGGTAGTGTGATTAGATGAGACAATCAAAATAGCTAAAACATATTGTTAAATGTGGGACAGCAGTTTCACTTAGTAGAAGCACAGGTAATGTACTAAGCCAAATGCTTTATTTTAACTTCTGTTACAGAAGCCTGAAACAATTAGTTTAACGAGGACCATCTACACATACACTTTAGCAAGTTCTCTAAAAAAATACCTAGCATAAGACACTCTCCATCGATACTATATAGTTGTCACATGAACTACTTTTCTCAGAAAAAAGTATTCTATTAACATCAAAATTATCTTTAAAAAAAAGAATCCAACAGACAGTGAATTATATATACAGCAAGTATAAGAATTTGATAAAACGCCAATATTTTTCACTCAGCTCAAAGGCAGCAAACATACTTGAAGTGGAACAAAAAAAGATGTTACATATCTAATCTTGAAACCAACTACCCCGTCTTAATTAAATTGGATTTTAGTTTTAGGGAGCATTATCAGCTTTTCTTTTTAATAGTGAAATTATTACACAGACATTGGAAACACTGTGCAATGAGCTTTTTCCTTTTTTCTTTTTCTTTTCTTCCAAAAACACACACAGTGTACCCAATTAAAGATGCTCACATCAGGGAGGAAAACAGTGGGTTGTTTTGTTTTTTAAAAAAGGTTTTAAAAAAAAAGACTACGTTTTAGTTTTCCCATCAGTGAGTTTATTTCAGCTCTTCAGAAGAGAAGCTCAACAGCCTGGAACAGGACACACCAAACCTGCCCTCCTTTCAGGGGTCCATTGTGAAAAATGTAAGTTTGGTAAACAGCTGCCATGAACCAAAGCGATCCAGATGAGGCTCCTACAAAGACATCCCTCACATCTGACAAATCTCATAATGCTCAACTGTTGTCACAAAATACCAGTTCAGTAAAGATACACCCTATTCAGCAGTCACAAGGACCTGCTAAAAAGACTTAAGCAACAAATTAGACTCTACATACTGCTGGGTGAGAGGGTGCAAAAGAAACACAAACACCGAAACAAACCACAAACTAAAAACTCAAAGCTTACCTTAGTGCTTTCCTCAGTGTCTCGATACATGCTACTATGATTTTTGGGTTTTTGTTGTCCAGACCCTTTAGTAATTCTTCTTGTACTGCCTCTCCTTTCTCAATTTCTATATACATGAGACATATATCCAGACCCAGCTCTTTTGCTCTGGCTTTTGGCTGATTGAACACTTTATTTACAACTCCAGATGCTACTTCTCCTGTTGTCCTGAA